AACAACTAAAGGCATCATAAGTGCCAAGATGGGGAATAAGTAAAGATAATCTTTTGAAGTCCTTTCAAAGCGTTCGAGGGATCAAAATCCATTCAAGGAAGAGCATTTACAAACGTTGAGAGTCGTTTTGATATTGCCGTGGACGCACTTCTTCGAAGTCGAAAGAAGACAGCAGCAGAGCTCTGTTGTCGAGTGGAAGTACAAAGACGGATGAATATACAATCCCAGTATTAAAGCGTCATCAATGATGGAGTCTTGTTTTTTGTACTTCCGATTCGGCGATCTCGCGTGCTATACACGTTCTCTACTATTCATAGCTGACATTTTGTAGAAACGTACTAAATTGAAGCTTTTTCTCACGCATGGTTAGGCAATTCGAATTTTGTCTTTGGTGGGCGAATAGGATGTTGGTGTGGTCGTTCGCTAAAAGCATATTTGATGTCATGTGCTAGTGCAACTAAGTGTAAAAACTTTCTCTGAAGTTAATCACGCCCCTCTCGGACTCATTAATTTTCACCACCGATAAACAAACCGATTTAACTAACATGATCATGAAGGCCATGCCGACCATTTGTCTTGGTTCCGATAAGACGGTCTGTGGTAGGGAGTGGAGGGGTTGACAGAATTGACCATTTCTTGGCTATTTTTATCTCCACCCGACGAAACAGAAGTTGGGTTGTTTTGGTTTTAAATGCTCTAATCGACATTTTGGTCAGGAGAAATTCAGTACTCCATTTGTTTCTTCCTTTTGCATGCTGCAGAGAATCGCCAACGAAATGAATGAAGCTTATGGCCTTCTGGGGAGTATTTTCCGTCATGGTAAGTCTTCATCTTCTTTCTTTCTGACTGCTGACAACTTTGTCGATCACACGAGGTATAAAAAACAATGAAAATTATGCAAGAAAAGGCCAATACCATTTTTAGATCAAAAAATTTTCCTTTAGGGAGGTAATCCACTCGTTTAAGGAGAAAATCCTTAATTAGGTTTACGAAATGTGATCCCCAAATGCGTAAGGAAAAGGTTTTGTCTGTGTGTGAAATGACATTTACCTACTCAAACGAGGGTAATGAGATGTGGACATTGCTTGCTTTAAACGTCTACCCTTCATTTTTCTTGATTTCGAAGCTATTCTACCTGCTTGAGCTCCACAACTGTGTAGCGGGCATTCCCTGTTAATTCATAATACTTGGCTGTATGGACTAAGTTTGAGGCACAAAAGCGATCGCAGGGTAGTCTTCATCTCGGAGTAGTTGCAGCTGAACAAAACTGCAGCCGACTGTCATCGGACATCCTTCAAGCGATGTTGCAATGGTAAGAAAGGAGGGAAACCCAGGCTCTGCGTCTTCCAGCATTGGACCACACTAAATCCCTTGCATTAAAGTAGCCTTCAATCGCCACTTAAAATCCGACTGATTTTTCCCCATCGTCTTGAAGACTTTGAGGTGTAGCTCTTTAGACGAAGGTTATTCACTAGCTTAGCATAGACAGAGACCTGTGCCACCAGCAGGTCATCCGAGACTCGAAAGACCGAACAGAGTTGCCTAACCCCAGAGACAATCTCCAAAAGAGCCTTCTGTTATAGTTTACATTTGTTCGCTTCAAACAGTGCCTTTTTTGCTCAGGAAAATCCACTTGTCTAGATAGAAATTAAGATTAAGATTATAGATTAATTCAAAACAAGCTATCGCAATGACGAAGAAATCGTTGTGACTGAAGAGTGTTAAAGTGGAGGACAATCGTCCATAAGTAATGATTGTGGTTACAAAAGTAGAATAGACAGACTATTGGTCTGATTGATCTTTTTCCTTCGAATTACCGATCCATCGGTTAACAAAGTGATGGACATGCTTCTTTCCTTCAGGCTCTCGACTGACTACATTCTCATCGCAGGCAATGCAGTTTGCTGATCTTTACTCCTACAGTTGCTACAACCTCATCTACTATCCGCTCTGCTACATGTTCCGCGCACCACCTATGCTGATGCCGCATGAGTCAACCGTACCGCATGAAGAGTCGGCCTTCGAGTCCTTCAAAGATCTCGAGGACTCGCCTTGTGGTCTGAGGAGAAGAACAACTACTGGTGAGCTATTATTCACTCCAATTGCCCCGTCTCAGGGTATTTGTACTTTTCTCTAACTTACTCCGAGATTAGGCCCGCCATTTGAATGAATTATTTGATATCAGATGATTAACTTTAAACGCGTGCATCGTGAGTTTGCAGCTGTTTGCTTCTCACACCCTCGCTTCAATCCACGTCTCTCTCTTGTGCATCTAATTGAAGAGTATTACTGTTTTTTTGGAGGGAATTTTTAGTACTAATTAAATTCCTATTGCTTGGATGTCTGAAATGATGTGAAGCTGAGCAGTTTAGCTGTTTCTTCCAATGGTGGTGATTTAAGAGATTTTATGTATTTTTAAGGAGGGATTTTCAGAAGTAATCTTAGTATTAACGTTTTGACTGGTTGGAACGTTGGCAGTCTATTGTTGCATTTGAAGTCGCATGCAATCACCTTAAAATTGGGAGCGGAGAGTCTTGACAAGGTCAACATGTGGCGTTGATTTTGACAATTTTGGTCCTCAAAATCCTTGAGCTGGTTAAAGCGCAGTACAAGATCAAAGGGAAGGGACCTAATTTTATGCGCCTCAGTAAGAAGCGGTGGTGTTGAGTGGGGGTGGAGAGATGGTGCTAAAACCTGGTCAATGTTCTGTTCCAGGTGGTAAACTCATTTCCGGCAAGAAGCGCCTCAAGGTGCGTAACATATTGTCATAGACGCATCAACACAAATATGAGTCTCGACATCACGCCTCGAAAGTGAACTTCGTCCGTAGCACCGAGGTGTATTTGCGCCTTTTTTTCCCATTTCCACCTTTCATTTGCGATTGACGATTGCATCCACTGAATATGGCAATCGCAGATGATTGACTTTTGGCGCCTTAATTCCTTCATTTGGTGTAGCTTTATCAATACAAGTACATTTTTGCGTGTTTATCTTGAACGCAACCTTATGGGTGCAGATGTCGCATATTGAGACTTTTTTGGAGAAATTTTAGCACGAAACTGTTGGATTACATAGGACTGATCAGCTGTTGGTATGTTCCAAAGGCTGTGACGCCTTGCAGAAGGAAATAATTTCGAAATTGACCAAAC